AGAAGAACTGAATAATCTCGTGCAGCAAATGGAACATTGCACCACCACTGCTCTCAGTGGAGAAAAACAACTGTTTACTAAGTGTCAATAATATGCAAATATTGTAGAGCACTCCACATACATAGGATAATCCTCATGACTAATTTGTAAAATAGGCTATATTATTTCTGTTTCTGAAATAAAATTATTTCAGAATAATTTCAGCAATCACGTTTTACAAGCGATTTGATTTGTATGGATGGTTTGATGACATGGTTGACATCTAGTCAGAGCCTTTACCAACCGCGTATAAAAAAAATTTGTGTCCCTCAAACGTTTAGCTCTGAATATGACAAAGAAGAAACAATCTTGTAATTATTTGCTGCGTGATTTGTTTGCTAGCCTCAATAAAACTTTATTAACATGCAGTAGACATTTTAGATATTCAATTCAGTTTTCCTCCCCTCCTCTCTCAATCCCTCAGCACTTTTCCATGGCACTCATATATATCTAAACTCTCAGAAGAGTGAGACCCTGGCACAAGGCCCTTGTTCGGTGGTCTGCCTGCTATATTGGAGGTCCTTCTCATTTTATCCTGCTCAGAGGTTGGCTCTGTTGCCCCAGACTTCACTTTCTGGGCAGTGATTGACTGAACAAGCCAGTCAGGTTAACCTTTGAAAATTTGTCTGTAGTTATAGAATATACTTCCCATTTTTGCTACATGACTCTATCGATATTTCGTTTTCATTTATAAATTATTTTTCATCATATGTGGATGAAAGTCCTTTGAAAGTGTCAAAGTCCAATGACATATAAAGTCTGACTCTCCTGTTAGAAAGGTCCAAACAAAAATATAACAGCAGGAAGCAGGAAGAAATAAATAACCGCTAAAACTGACCCTACATTTTGGTCCTTTAGGCTTATTTTGCTGACAACTTTAAAAAGCACATGTAATTGCTTCCTGGGAAAAAGAGCAGGAGTTGGCGACATGTGATCTTAAGCACTTGCAAACGAAGATAAAATAGGAGAATCATCAGCTAGTCCCATGTTCCTTTTTAAAGATGAGGATTAGAATTTGTCTCTGTCTTTTCTAGGATTGTGGTGCATTAACACAAAGGACTTTTATTTGCCCTGTAAAGGAAGACATTTAGTGGTCTTTCCATAGGCTTCGTTAGCAGTTGGATGGGAAAAAACTTAGAGGTCTTAGGACATCCGTTCCTTCAGAGGAATTATGTTTGTTCTCATCGCTCAGAAGACTAGGCTCATAAACTGGGAGAAAACCTATTATTGTCCTAAATCATGTTCCTAGAAACAATGTCTACCAGATAGAAATGGGCTTACATAATAAACAACACTTGCATTGCAATCATTGGGACATTTATTGTTAGTTTTTTGTATTTAAATGTTACCTATTATTCTGATATGATTTTCAATTTATCAATCAAAAGTATATTATTTCATTTAAGAAGTATTTAGTACCTTCTGTACTACACTGTGGAGATTATATTTTAAAAAGATAGTTATTCTAGTTATCAGGGAGCTTACAGATCAGGTGCGAGAGGGCGATGCGGGGCAAGGGAGAAGAAGATGGTTTTTGCCAACATTTATGGAGTGTCTTTTTTGTGCCAGGCATCATCCAAAATGCTTTACATGCACAAACTCTTTTAATCTTCAGGAACTCTATAAAATAGGTGATATTTTTTATTATCATTTTACTAATAAATAAGCTGAGGCACAAAACGTTTAGAAACTTGCCCAAGGTAAGATACCTGGTAAGTAGTAAAATCAAGCCACAGACTCAGGCAAATTAGTTACAATGTGATATTACATCTGAAGTTGGGCAGAGCACTAACACATATGTCAATAATAACAAATAACTAATAATCATTAACAATACTAAGGCAAAAGCTAAATGGGGAGATAAAATAATAAATGATAAATGGGGATATCATTCTGGGTTGGTGCAGTCGAAGAAGGCTTCATAATATGACACCAAAATTAGATCCAAACAAATGATATTATTCACACCATCTTGTTGAAACTGTCCATCAGCATATGGGAGGCTCTCAGAAGCACGCAGGAGAGAAATCTCTGTGTTTAATCCATTGTTTTTCAAACTTCTTGGGCAATGGAATACTTAACAAACATCTTTTGGCGTGCCCATTTTTAAGCAAGTTTGAAAGTGTTAATTTAGGAGAATGAAATCTATTTTAGGGTCATCCATTTACAGAGACTACCTTGCAAGTCTCTGCCCCTGCTGTGGGTGGCCAGAAAGAATCTGAAATTATAAGGGGAAGGCGACTGGGACCTTCTATGGATAGGATTTGTAGGATATGAGTGGAATTTATGAAAACTTGACAGGTCAGCAAATTTTATTTATTAACTAAAGCTTCTCTCTAGCCAGGATTGTATTATCATGAACTCTAAGGAAAGGCTTAGATTAAATGGGTTGGTTCGCTCTGGTTGGGTTGAGGAATATTTACTTTAAAATCCGAAAGGCAGTTCTTCATTTTCCCTGTTCTTATCCACGTGTTTTTAGTTCCCCAGGAACACTGTCTTCTTCTATAATAAATTTTTATAATATTTTGTCCATACTGTAAGGATTATTTTGTGGTCAGGCTGGTCATCTGTAGATATGATCATGCTCAATGTGTATTAATGAGTCTCGAGCATCCTTTTGCACAAAAATTGTACAACTTAGAGAAAACAAAAGATGTATCCCAACTCCCACTTTGTACATTTTTCTTTGAATTATGTAAGAATTTACATTTGTCGAGTGCCCCTTTTCTGCTAGAAACCTATATGTTTCATGTGTGTGCTATATGTTTAATATATGTTCTTGAATGTTGACCTCACAACCACTCTGGGAGGTAGGTGTCACTCTCATTTTATATATGAGGAAATGGAAGTTCAGAAAGATTAAATTAACTACCTAGGGTTAAACAGCAACTGATAATAAGGGATTTGAATTCTGCTCCTTTTGACTTTTAAAACTTTACTACATTGCTTCCTTAAAAGGGAAACAATTACTAAAGAAAAAAACCAGCTCTTGCAATACTAGAATTTAAAGCATTTCAGGCAATCGAATCAAAGATACATCATTGCTTATATGACAAAGACAAGATGATCACGCATCTCTAAAACATATCAGCTAAAACTTAAAACTTTCCCAATAATCTCTCTGGCTTAATTGGGGGATGGGGGTGGGGAAAGCAAGCTCATCATGGACTGTTTTGTACATAAAAGCTCCTTGTTTAGTCATTACTCAAATATTTGTCTATTATATGCCCACGGAGGCAGGACTGAGTCTTTTCCCTTCTCTGACAGGATGTTAAGAAGTGCCTCTGTTTTCTGTACTGCCCTAGGACAGACAGTAAGCAGTAGCTGAGAACATGTGTGGAAATGTGTGTGTGGTGTGAGCCACATGCATCCTAGAGGCACCAACCTAGACTTTTCTTGTAGAGCCTACGAAAGGCAAGGAAAATTTCAGGGCCTGACACAGGACCAGAGTCATCACCAGCCAGAATTACAGCTTTGGTGGCAGAGGTGCAAGGGAGATAAATGATCCTCATTTTGTTTTTAGGAGCTGTTTCCTTCACAGAAATTTCTGACAGAACTGCAAGCAAAAGATACACTATCTTCTACTTGAGAACATAAATGACTAAACAGAAAAGTAGGCTGTAGCTGAGGCAGAGCTTCCATTTGAGCAACAAATTGAAGGGCTAATCCTTTTACTCAACCTTGTAAATAAATATGTAAATTAACCAATCTGCTTAAAAAATGTAAAAATGGGAGTTTGACTTCCTCATGTAAAATTTCTTTACTACATTTCCCCCCATATATTCTCCACATTCTCATCCATGTGTGAATAACTATTTGCCAAGCTTCTTGTAATTTAAGAGGAGAGAATTTACATTTCTTGAAAGCCTACCATGTACCAGACAAAGTGCTTGGTGCTTTTTGTATGTGATCTCTTTTAGTTGCCCCAACAATACAATAAAGATATCATGGTCTGGAAATAATTTTAGAGAGGTTCAGTTAACTTCTCTGAAGTCATAGAATAAGTTAGTGACAGAATCAAGATTGGGACCCACTTTGGTCTCCAAAGCTTATCTGCATTCTGTTATGCTGTATTCCAAGAGAGAACTTGAGATGCAGTTGGGCCTGCACGGATGTTCTCGTGAATTCTCTAGGAAGCATTCTCTGGTAAAGCCAGTCTCCGACAGAATTCTGAGTGCTTCTGGAAAGGCTGGGTCTTTTTATATCCCAAGTATCCAGCACAACCTCTGGCACATAGTAGATCCTCAATCAATATTTGTGGCCCATTTGATGATGTTTCAGCTAAGTTCCCGAACACATTTGAAAGTCATGTCTGACCTTGGAACACCACTGGGGTCTCACTTTTGATTTTGATTTTGTAATATAGAATGTGCATGAAGGAAAATAGGCTTTGCCTTCTGACATGGGAGGTGTTAAGGAATCAGTGAGATTCTGAACACAAATCTTAATAAAATGGATATGGGGAGAATATATAAAGACAGAAAGCTGTTTCTGGGAAACTTAGGGTGGTGTTTGTTTTTCTCCTCTATTTCTAGATGAATTTAGGACAGTCAGCTGTCCTGCCAGAACTGTTCTATCATTCTTGGTGGCTTCTAATCTTGATGTGCCAGACCATATCTTGAACACGTAATTCTGGAATTGAATCTGCTATGTTTTTGTGTATCTCATTCTCTTTCCTATATGAGTTTGACAAATGTGAATCAGAAAAACATCAGGACTCAGGGGGAAAGGTAAAGCTGCATGGTGGACTTTTCTCCCTGACTGGGGACTAACTGGCAAGAGAAGCCTCAATGGACAGGGCAATTTCTGCAGCCCCTTGTTGAAGGAGTCACATGGGACATGTCTTCATCTGTGCTCTTTTTCTTGAAAGTTTCCTCTCCTGAGCAAGGAGTTCTATTTGTCGAACTGATTGGATAGCTGGTAACATGTTACTTGGTGAGAATTAGGATATTTTCATATTGTTATATTTTTAAGAAATTATCTTTATTTTACTTGTTTATCTAAACATGCCAATGGATATTTAGGCCACGTTTTGAGCAAAAACTCACAAGGTGTTTTTTTTTTTTTCCCCAAACCTCACACGTGTACACAAAACAACACAATTTTAAGGATTTGCTTAAAAGAACAAAGCATAAGAAATACAGTGAGATACAAGCTCATAACCAATTTTCAAATCAGTGAACAGATCTGATTCTACATGAGAAAAAGTGACAAAACAAGACTGTTTTTTAGGAAGCGCAATCTGGAGACTGTTGCAAGACACACTCCAAGTCCCTTTATGGGAAGCCGTAAGCAGGTAGAAACAGAGCCAGAGTTTTACTCAGCCTAGCGGGGAGTTATGGGTAGGTCAGGGTTTCATGAACAAGGTTTCCACTATTCACGGATGCTGTTAAAAGGAAAAGCACGCTTTGCTTATCAGGCCTGGCAGTGATTTTTGTCTCTCTTTCTTAATTTGATTTTAACTTTGCTTACTAAAAATAGCCCTTTGACTCCTTTCTTCACAAGCAATGAAAGATTTAAACTCAATAAATCAGCTATTGATGGTCCACAGACTAGGAGAAGAAGAATGGGAAGGTAAAGTCCATGGATGACTCACCAGTTGTGTCTTAACTAGTAACTGGACTCCTATTGAAATATTGCAAGAGACCCACTAGTAGTAGGCAAGAAAAAAAAAGTTTTCACATTCTCTCTTTTTTATTTTTTGCCAAAAAATGAGGAACTCAAGAAATCTTCAGATGGTTGAAAGGAAGACACAAATGCATCTAGTTTACGCATCATGTCTCGTTTTACTTCAGATTTTTATTGTACTAGTAGCTGCTTCATAGGCTTAACCATTGATTATTTGGTAGTTTTATCTGCGAGTTCTTCTTTAAGACCTAATTGTAATAAACGCTTTTATCCTATAAACTTGGAACTACTAAAAATGCCCCCAATATTATTTATTTAAGTTACAATATAAATATAATTTAAACAGTCCATTTTCTAAAGTCAAGGTAGAGCTAAAATAGCAGTTTATTTCTTATTTCTACTGTATCATCCCCAGTAATTGCTTTCCTTGATTTGATCTCATGTACATTAAAAATAGACTACTTAGAGGCCCTCTCTATATCGCCAAACCAAAATAAGTGAGGTTTGGAAGCAGGAATACATTCAGCATATCCTCTTTTGGGGCCCTACCAAGCTGAGAGCTTCAGAGTATTAAAGCAATAAAGAATCATGTCAGTTCATAGTTATTACAGAAAAAAAAAGTTAGTGTTTTCACAACTTCCCTTCTTACCCCTACCAACAATTTCAACTTATCATCCACCCATTTCATGAGGTTTTCACACTTTCTTTAGTACCATCTGACAATCTCTTCAACTTTACAGCAAATATAACCAACTTTCCAAAATTTCCCCTAAACCTTAGCTCTGCAAGCCTCTGTCTCTCTGTAGGAACGTATTACAATCCAGTCAAGTTTCTAAGATATCATTTGTGTTAGGAAAAAAAAAAACAAACCCAAAACAGTTACACTTAGGAAATGAAAATTAGCTGTCATTCTATCAGCTTGCGAAATAGCTTGATAGTGGCAGAAATGATCATATCATCATTCTTCCACTACTGTAAGGTTAAAAGAAAGGGGCATTGCCAATTTTCATCTAACATTAATTGTGCTAGAATTTGTAAAGGAAAGGTTCAACGCACACAGTTTAGCCGACTAGAGAAGAATGCTGTAACAAACTGATTCTATGGCCAAGTGTCTGCAGAAAAAAGTGCCACCCAAATCCAAGGTGACTCTGCTAACGAGAGCCATAATTAAGCACAATGACCTACCAGGAAGGTAAATTCTGTCAGAAAACTCAAATATAGTTTCTTAAATAATGTTAACTTGAGCTAAACAGTTGGGTAGTTATTTGCACAAAATTAAGGAAAAAGAAAAATCCAGTACTATTAACACCAAAGAAATGCACGCCAACCGTTAACCAAAGGTGCTTTGGTACTGTAGCCATAACAGATGAAAATTGTGGTAGGGGAGCAGGGAATTCCCTGATGGTTCGACGACAGGGTCATAGAAGGTTTGTGAGACCTGCTATGTCTCCTGCGAGGTTGACACACCACCATGTTCCATGACAAGAGTCACATAAACACAAGCTTATCAGCTGGTTTGTTGAAAACAGAATGTGCAACATCGCTGCGTTGAAAAGTGACTTCAGGTTTGCTGGAGGATCTCATTAATCTGAGGAAACGATGCTTGCTGCCATCGATTAAACAGTATGGTCTCAAGCGGAATGCATGTGAAGTTTCCAAAATATTTCCTCGAAGACTTTATTCAGTTTTGGTTTGTGACCTTAGCTGGAAAGCATAAAGATGGACATGGGAAGGCAGTTCGGAAGGACATCTGTGAGGATTTAAGTCGGGCAGCTTTCAGAAGATGAAAGATATTTAAAGTTAAGGCCTTTATCTGCAAACAATAGTATATTAATAAACTCTATACCATATTTACAAATGCATTCTCTTGTATTAAAACTAACAGTATTCTGTTCACAGTGCCATTGTTTATACAGGTAGCAATCCCATAATACTCATGTATTTTGGCATGGGAATCAGTAGCGCTTGGTATTTACAGACAATGTACATGTGTGAATATAAACATGTCACTGAAAATGAGTAATTGATAAAAGACAGATTGGCTAATGGTGCAAAGGAATGAGCTGTACAGCACCTTCCCCTTGGATCGGATAGGAAACGTGGTTTCTTAAATTGAGAAGATGCCAAATCTTGACCCAAAGTGGCATGAAGTCAGTAACAAAACAATGAACCCCCGGTCCAAGTTTGGGTACACTGAGTAATCTTAGTCCAAAGTTTTAGATCCATTGTCTAGTGCATAAAATATAAAAGTTAAAAAGATTTATTATTATTTTATAATAATTATTATTAAAATAGAAAGTACTTTCTCTCACGTTCTCATTTGTGCTCTTGCACGAAAGACCAGTATCCTTGGAGTTCCAAATATGCTGGTGTTTTTGTCATGCAGATCAGCAGACAGATGGCAAATGCTAGAATGCTCTGGATGTAGGAACTGCTGCCTGTCACGATGTGACCCAGTGCCCTTGGGGGACATGGCAGAAGCACCTCTTTCTTACTTCCAGTGTTCTCTCCTAGAGGGGCAGGCCTGCCCCTGGAATCGGCTCCCATGGTGCTGAATGGAGTTGCTCATTTTGGCAGCTAATGCCGAGGTGACGAATGGCTTCTGTACACTTGGAAAAAGGAGGGAAGGCAGGTAAGTAGGAGGAAGATGGTATTCCAAAGAGCCCCAAGTTAAAACCAGACAGTGCCTGGGTTTATCAGCAAGAACCTCTCAGAGCTTCTACCCTCTCGGGAGGCCTCTGCTCAAGGAGGTTCTCATCCTCTCAGTGTGCAGAGCAGGGGGCAGGCCTGGCTGGCTCTACGGGGCGACGTCTTCCGTCACAGTCTGCTCCTCATTCTCAGTCCCGTGGTCTGTGTGGTCTGGGCTGCCACTGCCACTGCCACCACTGCTGCTTCTGTGCTGTTTAGGCAACAGGCTCTTCCACTGGGCTTTGTTGTGTGCGAGGTGGCTTAGCATGTTCTCGGACAGGGTGCTGTTTCCGGTGAAGCGGGCCCATTCCCGGAAGAGTGGCTCCACTATGTAGGTCATGAAACCTAAAACAGGCAAGACCAAACTAATCACCATAAGGGCAGTAAAACCTACTTCTCCCTCACAAACACGGTGGGGTCCCATTATGTACTCAGCCCAGCGGCGTGAAGGCAAACAAGATGTGGTCCCCACCCTCATCTGAGGAGCATAATATATGTCATCTTGGGCTTGGCACTTAACCTCTCTGTGCCTCAGTTTACTCTTCTGTAAAAAGGAGCTAAGAAGGATATCAAACCCATAGGGTTGTTATGACAATGAAATGACTTAACAAGTGTGAAATGCTTAGAAAGCTCCTGGCACATACTAAACACTCAATAAATATTAGCTTTTTTTTGTAGACAGAAAAATACATATAAACAAACAAGTAAAAGTCTGTGCTAGAATTAAGGGAAATGGAAAATGACATCAGAAGAGGCACCTCGTTGATTTAGACCATCTGAAGAATTTTTACATTTAACCTGTAGGATATTTTTTCAGGATTATAGTTTCATAGTTTTAGCTTACTTTCTTTCAATTATGTTAAATAACTAAGTGTAGATGAGTAAAAGTTCATTTTCAGTAAAGGTTTTTATCCACATAAAAGTCCTGCTTTAATGACTAGGTAAGTTTGTTTGATATTAGAGTTCTTTGCATATCTATTCCCTTAATTTTAGACTTGTTGCTTTCTAATCATGTTTCACTGCCAATGTGCATTCCATATTGAACATGATTAGTAAAACAAAAATAATTTTCAGTTAGGCTGGAATTATTAGAATCATCACAAACTTGGACATATTTAGATTTTATTGTATTTCCTTGAAATGTAGGTGTGAGGAGGAAAAGCAAGTGTTTTCCAGCATAACAAAATCTTCCACCAACTTGTCCTGTATGTATACAGGCATTTGAATTATAGGCTTGATTTGATTATCTTTTTATTGGACAAACAGCAGATACTTGGCCTTGAGGATGCTTTAGAGATGGGAAAAGGAGGCAGCAACGCAAAATGTTACTGTACATTTCTGTTTTTACATTATCTTGTCTTGGGTAAAATATAATTTAAATATTATGAGATTATTTTATATAATCCGAACTTGAGGAAGAAAGTTAAGCCAGAAACTTTGTGTCTGTATTTTAATAAGTCTATGTAGGGAGTCAGCAAGTAAAAATTTCATTCTTGAATCTTTTTGCTTGCTATTCTTGAATTTTCTTCACTTCACAATCTCTGTATCTAATTTCGAATACCTTTTATCTCAAGAGAGATTAGATATTAGATACCTAAAAAGTTAGTTTGCAAAACTATACTATTCTAAATTTGCGAGTTTGAATATTTATCAAGTTTACCTTAATTATGAAAAAAGCTACAAATCCAAAATTTTATAATCTAGTGCTTAAAAATCAACTCATTTTCTTCCTAAAGTAACTCTGGAATTGAACCTCTGTATTTCTATTTGTCCCATATAAAGATCTCTTACGGCAGATAGGAAAGCCATTTCAAAGTCTGAATAGACACCATGAGGTAGTTTTTCAAATGAAGGAAGGCTTCTGCATGGTCAGATTTAGAAATCTGCTTCATCAGTGCTCAGTGAGGTGGACCAACCTCCCTCTGCTACTCAAGCGATGGGCTGATTGCCAAGATAATGTCCCTCTGGAAGGGTGGGAATGTGGGGAGGGAGAGGTGGTGGCCTTAGAGTAAACAAGGATTGGAGGAAAGCTCTTCGGCCTCATCTTTCTATAGATTTCATCAATTTGATATTCATTCAATTTAATATCTTCTTAAAAATGCAGTTTGATGGTTTGATGGAAAGAGAGGAAGAGTGGGGTGGAGTGAGGTGGGAGGAGATTAAAAAAATCCCATTTCCACTTAAGTAAATATGAATAACTTAAACAGAAAATCAGATCTAAACCTAAGATGGCACTCAGGAAATTCTCATTGTGAACTGGGAGAGGAAAATAAAGAGAATATTTTCAGTCCCAGAGGAATCAGGACAGTAAATCACTGCGTTACTTAGAACCCACTAGAAAAATCTTTGTCTGGGAGGCTGAAGCCTGTGGCTCCCATTAGGCTCTATTTATCTGTTTGGGTTTTTCCAGGTTAGCCTGATCTAGTGCTGCATACCACACCTCCCAACCCTGAACCTACAGACTTGGGAGATATGAAACAGAGACAGAGAAAGATTTATTTACTAGGAATTGTTTTATAATCACCTTCTCTTTCTCTTTATTATTGGTGTGCTGTTGCAGCATCCATAGGATTTTCTTAGTCACTCAGTCCCCATCCCATTTTAAAAACATGTATCTATGGTAACCACATTTTCCTGAGCTGAAAATCAGGACATATGATATGACAAAATAAGTGCGTTCTCATGACAACAGGATAGAATCTCTGAAATCAGGTCTGCCTTGCAAATCCAGGTTGTGTGCATAACAACGTGAATGTTTGTCTTTGGTGGTTCAAAATGTCTTTCACAGGTGCCTGGCAAATTTCTTTCTGGCCAGAGTTTAAGAAACTGGATCCTAGGATTAGGATTTTGGTTAGGGTCTATTTCTTCTGTATCACATCTGTAGAACCTCTGCAACCAAAGCAACGTGTTAAGAGGGAGCTGGATGCTGTTGCTTCTTGCTTCCTCCCCAGCAATTTTGTAGATTCATCTGCCCTGGATTCTTTCTGGTTCAATTTTTTTTTTTTTTTTTTTTTTTTTTAAATCATGCACTCACCATTTTCCTTTTTTGGGTGGAGGAATCAGTTTAATTGTAAAAACAACAGAACAATATTAAGGGCCATTTGAGAAAAACTAAGGACAACCGAAAATCTCATAATTCCAACATATCTGTTTTAATGTTTGTATATGCCATTCAAATCTTTGTAACTAGATTCATTTTGTCCCTATTTCCTTAGGAAGAGTTTATGACTCTTTTATGGGACTGTGGATTAGATTTGGTCCTCAGCGACTGTAAGCATATCATTCTAACTTTTCTTAATTTCCATCTTATCTTTTTGGGTGCCCTCTTCCCTCCCAATGTCAAGACATTAAGCTTTGAGTCTTGCAGAGGTCTGAAGCACTGTTAATGCATTAAGCTGTCTTAGTTCTGTGGGAACTAGCGAAACACATGAACTGGTACATGTCAAGGCCATAGCTTATAAGTAAAAGAGTTAAAAGTTCTGAGTTTGGTTTTAATTGGAGAGAACTGCAAGGAAAAGGAAAATCTGCATTAAATATCAATAGAATTGGTAGAGTGTTTAAGGAGTGACAGAAATTCTTACTGGGTCAAAAATATTTCCCCCACTAAGGTGCCTAAAATTTCCACAGTTTGATTTGCTTAATGATCTTATGCATAACTTAAATAGAGTAATAATTATTTTGGATGCATTAACATCAGAGTTTTAACAGTTTATTGCAATTGACACTTGACAGGATGGTCCTAACAGAATGAGACTGAAAATAAGTTTTGAAGGAGAGTAGAGAAGCATGAGACCCCAGAACACAAGGAGTAGCATGGCTAGTAGGACATGAGTCTGGGGTCTGGACCCTTGAGATTACATTTTGGAGACGAAGGGTAGAAACGCAAATTAGAAGGGTCCTAAAGGCCATTTTTGCTGATTTCCCTCCCTTTAAATCCTGAAGCAAGTGTGAGCAAATACTTAATTCTTATTACTTTCCTTCTACTCTATTTGGTTTGGATTTGTCTCTGAACTACAAAGTTAACACAGGTTAGTTAAGGGTCAATAACAAAGCCTTTACCCTATTTTTCATAACTTTTCAATTGTTAGTCATCTAGTAGATGGGTCATAATTAGAATGTTTATTTGGACTCAGCCACTCACAGGGGCTTTGATTAAAACTCCAGTTTGGATCTTTCAAAAGCTCTGTGTAGTAGATCTTCTTTTCTTTGTGATTCTTGGCAGAGGTGCAGAAACTATTTTTTTAGAATTAAAATTGAATTCAACTCACCAATTTGTATACTAGGGATTGAGTCTTTCTGCTGATTACAAAGAGGACTGATTTCCAGTTCAAATTTCTGTTCAAGGTCACCTAAGAGGAAAGAAGAAGAAACACGTTGGCAATCTAGAACTTACAAAAATGGGTGTTGACAGTTGTAACGACCTAGTTGGAAGAAGTTTTTCTGGGAATTACTGTTCCCTGCCTTGTTATCATTAGGAAACCTTTAGTATCGATTTGCTCTGCCTTGCTCTGGTAGCTTCCATGAAAATTTAAAATATCAGAGTGTCGGTGACCATTTATAATAGGCTCATTGTAAATAGCTGTGCTCTAAGACTAAAATAAACTTTTGAACAAGATCTATAAAAACAAGAACACAACTAATGGGCAATTTCTTAACATAAAATGGAAGTTCTGGTTTTAAGTTACAGGTTAAGAAAACAGATTATCTATATGCTTCTTCCCTTCTTTTTACGCTTCCTGACCCTAGTCTGATTTCACCTGAAAAACCAGGAATAATAAGTAGGTAGGAAATCGGGGAGAGGGACCAGAAGACCTATTTGAAGAGCATCTCAGTCTGCAGCTCCAAAATTGATCAGAAATAAGGGTCTGATATCTTTCATTTTGACTTATTAGAATTTTACCTAATGTTAACTGAAAGTTAAAAAAAGTATAAGGGTCAGAATGATATTCTTTGAGTGCCTTTGTCAGCTAGAAGACCAAAGGAGAAATGCATCATGCAAAACTTTATCAAAATACTTCATTGATTCTTCCTGAGGGTGAAAAATTGTGGGTAATTTTTGCACTGGGAAAAACAGTCTGGTTAATCAGTAGATAAGCTGGTCCTCAGAAACATTCGCTGGATGATTCACAGTTGTGAATGTGCTCTAAACTAGAGGAGATAAAAATATAATATGCTTACTGTGTGCTAGGCACTGTTCTAAACATTTTACCTATGCTAATTAATTTAATCTTCAAAACAACTTCACTATCATCCTCATTTTACAGATAAGGAAATTGAGATGAAGGGAAGGAAAGTACGTTAACCCAAGGTCACACTGTAGGTAAAGAGGAGAGCCTGGCTTCCCACCTAGGAAATCTGGGTCCAGGGAGTCTGCACTTAACCAGTGAGCTAGAACCTCAGAGATGCCACATTTCCATCTTTTTTCTCTAAGACTGTAGCCATGCCTCCCATGCTGTCCTGTGCTCTAGTGATTCTCAAGAATGATGTGAGGAGGTAACACTCTGGTTTAACTTGGAGGAATCATCTTTGATTTTTCCTCTTCCTTCATCCTCCATGTTGAGTCATCAAATCCTGTTTATTCCTCTCTTGGAATATCTTTATTCCCTACTTTTCCTGACTCTAGTCTGGTTTCTTAATAACTTATTCTTAAATTTATTCTTAGTTTTCTTCCATCGTTATTTCTTCCACTTCAGTTATATATTTTGCTCTAATTGCATAGTCTAAGATGACTCCTATTCCATGTTCTTTACTTTAGCCTCGTGCATAAGGACCTCCACAAGTCCTCTCATTCTTACCTTCAATGGACCGTGCTGGTCTGTGAGGCAGGGGTATGGTCCCACCTTAGTGTCTTTGTTCATTTCCACCCCTTTCTATGTAAACCAGCACTGTCCTGTGGGATTTTCTGCAGTGATGGAAATGTTCTCTACACTGTTTACTATAATAGCCTCTTGAAATATGATTACTAAAACTGAGAAATGAAAATTTTAACTTAATATAATTTTAATTAATTTAAATTTAACTAGCCACATGTGCCTTGCGGCTGTCCTATTGGAAAGTATAGTACAGTACACAGCCTTCAACATCTGGTGCAGATTCTACCTTCCTCAGCCCGAGATCTCCTGTGACCTTCACCATTAGAGGTCTTCAATCAGATCATTTATTTGTTTACTTATGCAACATATATGTATAAAGCATTATATATTTCAGACACTTTGTTAATCCATATAGAGAATACAAGGAGGAAAATTGCATAGTTTCTCTCCTCCAGGAACTATTGCTTAGTACTTTGAGATTATGAAACATTAACTATACTTCTTTGTATCTTTCATGACATCCCCAATGGGGCTTGGTACACGAGGAAAATCACAGTTTTACTGAAGATTAGACAAGACTGGAAGCAGATGTTCAATAAAAACTCTTGAGAATCTTGTTTGATTGACAAGATACCAATCTGTAGTTACAACAGGACAGAGATTCTATTTCTTTAAGGCATTGAGAGGAGGGAGGAAGAATGATGTGTAGAATTCTAATCTCTGTTCTCGGAATTTAACAATGTTTCCCTGACTCATGAGATCTCATCTTCCTTTCCCTCCTTTGTCCTCAACCTTGATTTTAAGGGTTTTTCTTTGCTCAACATCATGAATCAGTAAAGATGCTTGGCCGGGACTTTTAGCAGTCTGTAGAAGCCCAAATCCTAAGGTAAAAGCCAGAATAAGATTACTCAAAATGATACAAGTTGTGATTATAGAATTTTTAAAATATTAATTCAGTATGGAGGACAGGCAGTTTGGATGACCAGAGAGTCTGGTCTTTCCTTCATAAACAAGCTGAACTTCTGCTAGACTATAATGCTATTAAATAACAAGGACCCAACATAACCTCTTTATTGTTCTTTCCCTGTCATGAGACATGCCAGAGAAAAGCTCATGGAAGCTCACAACTTTAGTGATCAGAGTTACAAATGTTCTAGGTTTTTCCATCTTATAATGCTGCACATGCATCTATTAGGAGGACGATAACCCAGTTTTGCAAAGAAATCTTACAGATTTTTCTTGGTTTATCCCATTGCACTCTCACTTAGAACTTCGATTTGCTGACTGTGAACTTTACTATCTACCTGGTCCCTGACAGCAGGACATGGTCCCTGAGTTGCTCGGAATCCAAATAAGGGTGCAAGATAAGCAAATGAAAGATTGGGGCACATGACTGAGTTAAAAACCAAGAGGGACAGAGTAGAATCTTTTCTCTGCCACTGTGCTATTTCAATATTTTTCATATCATACAGTAAATAAAGTATTTATCTCATCTAATCTTAAACCTCCCTGCTCCAATTTCATACCATTTTCCTTTTGTTCTTTTTTCTTTCCCCTTAATGGAGATTTTGTATTATGGGCAACTAGAACTGATCTTTTGATTTCTAACCACTCATCCTCAGTTGAAGTGAAATTACATAGAATTGTGAGATCTACATGAACTCTTTTCCTCTAAGCGCAAGAGATGGTGAGCAGAGCCTCTTCTGTCCCCACATGAACCCAATCCATTCTGCTTTGTCTTCTTAGAGACCATCACAATGTCACTGACACATCTTTCGATGGAGCCTTCTCCAAAAGGCTCCCTGTTGCTACTTGACTTTCCCGCAGAACTGGTATGTGGGACACTTCAGGCTTTATTTGTTCGCAGCCTCTCAAACCTGATCTTGTCACTAACATCAGAGCAGCGTTGTGCCTGGATTAACTCAATTCTTGGTCAGCTGTGCTCTATTTCGTTATTAACTTTACTTAAGAAAGCGAGGAGAAGGAATACAAAAGGAGTTAAGTCCTTCTGTCAGAGTGGAAAATATTGACCCCAAATGGCATTTAGTCTTTAGGCTGCACTCGGCTCATTAAAATGAAGGTCAGAGTAAAAATCAAACTGTCCCTCACATTTTTATATCCATAGAGGAAAGCCATTAAAAAAATATATCTCATTTTCACTCACTTTTATTGCACCTCGTTACTACCTGTTTCCGTAGTAAGTCAATGTTATTTATTTTTAAATAATATCCAAAAAAGGGATGGAGAGTTTGCAAGAGAGTTGAAGAGAAAGGTTAGGATAATAAGCGTTGATGAAAGAACACATGTCGTGATAGATTAGCCATTTCCTGTTTTATTAGGATGAATGCCTAAGAGGAGGAGGGACAGTGAAAACGCAGCTGTCAGGTCACCTACTAACCTTGCCTGTAGAACTCTTCGCAGACTCTTTCACTCCACTGCTTGCTCATCTCCCAGATTCTACAAGGATTGCAAATGTCAGCACACTTCAAGGCAATCTGAGAAGGGACAGGGCAGGGAGAGATTGTCAGAGGGTGATCCTTGAGCAGCAAATGTGCCCCAAGCCCAAGAGATTGTCTGACCCACCAACGTGCCTCATGGGACCAGGCCCGTGTTCACACAGGGCCTCCCTGACATGTCTCTTCAGGAAACAGTACTTCTTCCCCGTCTCCCCCCTTCTCCCCACCCCCCAAAAAACCCTCTTCATTCAGAACTCCCACTTTATAGCAGTGAGAAGGAGAGAAGAACCACTGTCCAAGGAGCACGGAGCTTTCTGAAGGAGAACTGGGGTGGGCAAGCCAAGGCAAGCCGCAGCCTGGCTCCCTCTGCTGTACCACCCCTCATGAGCAGGGAGGCTACCGGGGCCCCGGTCTGGCTCAAGTGAGATCATTCGGATCTCACTCTCACAGTGGCCAACTTGACCAACTCCATACATCACTTAAATTATGTATGTTTGCATTTACATGCCCGTGTCTGTGTGTGTAAGCAAGCAAACTCAGACTGCCAGCCAGTGAACTAAGTCCTATCAAAGCTAGGAGGGCTAAATCAAGGCCTCTTGGCTTGCCTCACACTGGTCTGGATAGGAGATGCCAGCTTTGCCCATGATGTTGACCCTAGAAGGGTTACCTTGAATTCCAAGAGAAGTAGATTCTCCCCCTTAACTACCAACTGCTGAGAGACCGCTTCCCAGATGGGCTCCTGTGGTGTGCCCTGCTCACCAGAAGTGTCTCTTTATTTTGACCCAGTTCCTTGCGGTCACAGAACTGCTAGCAGTGCTGGGGTCTGGGAGAGCCTGGATTATATTACATTGCAAATTTGGTTGTTTCTTTATTTCTTGGTTAATGGGGGCACCAGTATGTGTTGGAGTAGGTAAGGTGAAGACTTATCCTCTGAGTTCTGCCCTTTAGGAATTCATTTGTGTTAGCAAGCTTTCCTTTTGAAATTCAAGTGTCGAGACCAAATCTTTTAGCTACTCACAATTTGGCTCGAGTCTCTAAAATCAGACACCTGGTTCATCTTTGTCGTACTCAGGGACTAGAACACTAGTTTGGGAAGAAAGAAGAAGGGAGATAGAGTGCTAGAGCCTGGAGGAGAATATTTACTGGGAAGGATGGGGCACTTTGAACAGCTAGAGGGCAGCATGAAGGCATAGAACAGAAAAGACTACTGTTCAGTCTGCCACCTGTAGCTCCATCTCCCTAGCTAAAGCTGGCCTATTTAGATGAGTCCAGGGTCCATCCATTCAGTCTTTTGTGCCAAAAAGAAAGAAGAAAGACAGGAGAAAATGGAAGATCAAGACAAAAGCTCTGGTTGGGATACCAGGTCCGAGTTCTCCTTCTGGAGTCTACTCCTCCTCTTGTTCTCATGTTGCAAATGTCTTCTTGCCACGGAATGAAATAGACAGGGTTGGGCTTGATGTAATTTAATTCATTCAGTTGAAATAATTGATTTATTGGTGCTAAAAATGATAAGACTAAATGTGTTTGAGCCTCACATGAAAATATGAGTTTAGGTAGTAAAAGAAAGTAAAGCAGGGTTTGATTAAAGAGGTTTTAGGTAAATGAAGGCTACTCATTTCCCAATTTTTTATTTGTACCATAGTTAACATACTTTTGTGTTATAGAAATAGCCTTTTAAATTTACACAGGTATCACAGCGGCCAGTTTTACATCGAGGCACAAAATGTGGGAGATTCTTACTGCATGTGACTGCCCAGCTACTTTGTGGTGAAGCACTTAACCAAAACAAAGAAAAGTGAGATATTATTAACTTACTGACACGAAACCCAGAGTTTGCTTGCTTGGAAACCACTTAAAAATTTCATGTGTCTCAAAGCTTTTAATAAAGTAGGTCACTACTCTAACTTATATCATGGGAGATACTCACTTCTCAAATGTGCTAAAATTATTGATCATGTCCCTAGGTGTTTTCACCCAGCAAGGATAATGGCTTTTTCTTTTTTTTTTTGGTTATTGTTTACCTGAAGCATAAAGTGCCTGTCGTGTACGTCCTCCAGTCTTAAATCTTTATTGTGGAGGTGAGCTTTCAATCTGGTCAAAAATTCATTCTGCCTGTTGATGTCTGTTGCCAAGATCAAGGAGCCCAGCTGCTGCTCAATATCCTGTCTGCATCCACAAGAATGAAAGAGAAAACATACACACAAAGCAAATCCTTTTGTGGAGGGCGATTGATTCTGTCATCATCAAGTGGCTTGTAATCTCATTTCTGCCTTTGTTACTATTTAATACACAGAGTCCCTGCCCCTCACAGTACAAGAGTGATTCTCTCACCCATCATCACTTCTGTCTTTGGACAGAAGATATGCCATGATCTGTTTAGAGTGATTGAAACCTCAGGTGAACAAAGTTCTGGTAGTTTATTCATTCCCATGCTTCCTATGGATGGAAAAACTGAAAGCCAACTAGAAATCTATGCTTCGAGGAGAACGAAAAAAGACTCAGAGTCACAGGTGTTTTGGTTGTGCTTTTATAGTGTTCAAACCAGTTCAAACATGAAGATTTGCATGGGGAAAGAAAAGGGTATAATAATGGTAGCAATAATGAAGACAATGATAGTGACTGATATTCGGGGATGGAAAGATCCATCAATGGAAAAAAACAGGCCAGAAGGAGATACTGGAACTTAAAAAAAAATAGTGGTTAATTGAGGTATCGTTACAAACCAGTAGGCAAGCAATATATTAGTCAACAAATGGTATATGGAAATGAGATATTTTGGGGAAATAAAGCAAATTAGAGCTTTACCTCACAATTTGCCTCACATATAGAAAGTAATCAATGGAAGGAAAGATCCATCACTATTTCTAAAGTTCACCTTTAAAAATAAAATATATTTAAGTAGAGTACATAGAACATACATTTACTGTTTGCTGAATCGACATAAACATCTTGCAATCATCACCCAAGTCAAGAATAATGCCTAGCCCCCCAAAAAAGAACATTGACTCCCTGTACCCTAGAAGGTCCCCATTGCATGTCCCATCACAGCCCTCTTACTCCAATCCCTGAAGTAACTACGCTATTGATCTTTTAAAAATAATTTCCTTGCTACTTATAATAATTTTACTACCTATATGTGCATGTCTAAATAATATGGTTTAATTTCAACTGCTGTTGAACTTTAAGTTACATGGTATTAGTTTGTGACTTGCTTCTTAACATTGTATTTTTGAATCATTTGTTGATGTATGAGCTGTAGTTCATCCATTTTCATTATTATATTGTATCGTATTATAGGAATATACTACAATGTGTTTTTCCATTCTACTTTTGATGGTCACTTGAATTGTTTCTAGTTTTTGACAACTAAGAAAAAAATGCCACGGTAAACACCTTTATATACCTCCAGTTACACATGTGCAAAAGTTTCGCTAGGGTCTATATCCAGAAATAAAATGAATGGATCGTGGAATATATTCATCTTCAATTTCCTAGATATTGCCAGTTATTTCCAAAACAATTGTATAAATTTACACTCCAAGCAGTAGTAGATGAGGTTCTCACTGCTTTACATTTCTTTTTATATTTTTTGGGGTCAATCTGAGAAGTAGATCAGGCAACTCATTATGGTTTGAATATGAATTTCCTTGATTGTCAGTGAGGTTGGGCATATTTTCATGTGTTTATTGGTGATTTGTACTTCCTCTTTTGTGGAGTTCCTAATCTAGTCTTTACCAATTATTCTATAGGGTTGTCTTTCTTTCGCCTATTGATGCAAAGAGCTTTAAAATATTTTTCAATAATGATCCTTTGTCAGTTATGTTTTACAAATACCTTTCCCCATGCTGTGGCTTGTCTTTTCACTTTCTTTATGATGTCTTCTGATAAAAGAAAGTCTTAACATTTAATACAGCATAATCCATAATTTGAAAACTATCTTGTTAAACTAATACTTTTTTGAATTTTCCTTAGTTTTAACAGTTAACCTACTTTACTTTTAAAATTAGAAAAATTATTTTAAAGCATTTGTATGAGGATAGAAGGAATAATCATGATGATTATGATGACAATAATTTTTACTATCAAATCCTTTCATATATATTATTACATAACAGTTATTCTTCTAGCAAAAGCAATTTATAACACTGTCCCACAAAGACATAAAAAACATGATACTTTTATTTGGAATCCATGGGGATGATGAGTAGGAGTATGTTAGGAAATGAATACTAAGTGAGCAACAAGCAAGATTAATGCAGGTTTTACACGGACAAGTCTCGTCCCAGGTTCTTCTCTCCTTTTTTCTCTTCTGTTTTGTTCTTTCCTGTTTTCACTCTCTTCCTTCCATTCACCTTTCTTTCTTTAGCTGACCCTACCACTTACCTCCTCTTTTCTTCTTATTGCTTGATTCCTTGTTCTAGCTTTTAGTTTTTTTAAAAAATTCTTTCAATATTTGCAAATTATTGTTCTAGTAAAAGGCATGAGTTTTTATTTTATGCATGAAAATTGATTTCATTTAGTTACCGGAGGGAAAAGTTATCAGAACTGAAGTTCCTTCTGCAAATTCCACATTCCTCTGGGTGCTAGGAAACAGCATGAGATAGTATCAGAAGGCCAGGAATAAACTGATGAGCCTAGAGAATGCTGCCTACACTATGGAGACACACAACTTGGCCATTGACCTTAAACTCTGTGCTCTTTAGAAACAAGGGTACATGGATCTATTTACTTGTTCTTTTCTAGCTACCTTGGGTTCTGTGCATTTTAATTAAATGGATCAGAATTTGTGTTGGCCTTGGAAGACAGCACAGCAGCTAACTTGGGGCCATGCAGACAATGAGGCAATGGCCTTGGATTAGTAGGACTTGACCTAATCACCTAGGCTAACAAACAGCAGACCAGGAAACTAGTATTTCTCCTTCTGTTTAAAATGCAAAAGACATAGGTAAATTAATGGTGAAAAAATTTCTGGGGCAAATTCAGTTACTTGACAAAACACATTTTAGAAAAGAATTTCTGACTTCTTGTTTTGCTAAGATTGGCGATTACAAAACAAACTTTACTGAGCTAGTCTTAAATCTAGCTTGAGAATTTCTGTGTTCCTTCTCGATAAATATTTATTATTTGGGTCTACACGGGAGGACAATTTTGCTAACATAAAAGACAGAAAGTTGGCAGAGCAGAGCACTGAGGCCGAAGAGTGTGAAAGCAGAGAGCTGTTTACTCTCCTTTTCCTGACATTAGGTCATAGACGATTCAAGGCCCTTTCAAAGCTCAAGAGATTCTGGTTTCTGGGTTGCAGTAACTGACACCGAATCTCCTCTGACAGACAATACCGAGTTTAGGCAGGAAGAACAGCAAGCTGGCTCCCCGCCACTAACCCAGGGGGTTCTCAGGCGTGCCTAGAGAAAGCGGCTTATCTCTAATGTGAGGACATCAGTATGTTTCATCTCTACTCCACTTACGTCATTTCCGTTGGCAAGTGAGCAAGAAGCCTTGATTCTCGAAGCATGCCAATTGTAGACCGCCAGTGGTGATTCTCTAGCACAGACATATTCTAGAAAGAAAATCAAAGCTATGAATGAGAGAGAAGCTAGATACTGAGCTATCATGCTGAACACAGCTTAACTGAGGCCAGTGTTTTCCCTCTGTCCAGTGTGTACCTGATGACAGAGAGGCAAACCAGAAAAGAAACACAAAATAAAACACCCACAGGGCCTACTCTCAAGGCTCTAATGATGGTGGGATAGTGGCAGGGCCCTCACTGACCCTCTAGTGCAGGAGTGGGTGAGGGTCTACTGCCAGCATCATTCACTCCTGTCTCGGCCCTGTTTCTGGCCCCTGGAGCACTGACATCATTTCTCAACACTGATAAGAAACCTGTGTCTGAACCACCTGGGCAGCTGGGGACGTATTTAGACTCTTGTGTCCCAGTCAATACAGTTTTAATTTGGCAGGTTTGTGGTGACTAATTTTTACGAACACTAAAGTTTGAGAACTGCTGCCACAGAAGCAGCTCTGTCAATAACTTTTGTGACCAGTATATTGGCATTTAGCCCATTAGGTCTCAGTTTAAATCTAAATTGCTTCCTTGTTCAATATCTTGATATTGTAGGAACCTCGACTTTATTCAATCTCCCTTTTGACCTTACTGTTATCTTAAATATGCTGCCTATCTGAACATTAGCTAACTATTTAAATAAGAAATGTTTCTTACAATCCATAGTGTTTTATTCTAATTAGCAAATATTATGGCCTTGCTACTGACTTGACACATATAGAATGGAGCCCCTCTAGCTCCCAAGAAATCATTTTGCTCTATTTTCTTATTTGTTTATTTACTCATTCTTTATTTTGTTTCAAGAGGGGTTATCAACTTATGAAAATACAGGAAGATAATATTTATTACAAATTAGGAGACATGACATGATTCTGCATATATGAAGCACCTGGAATAATCAAATTCACATAGACAGAAAGAATAATGACTGCTAGGGGATGGAGGAATAGAAAGTTATTATTTAATGGGCACAGAGCTTCAGTTTTGCAAGATGAAAAGAGTTCTAGAGATGGATGGTGATGATGATTGCACAGTATTGTGAATATACTTAATATCATTGAATTGTATACTTAAAATGGTTAAGATGGTAAATTTTATATTATGCGTATTTTGCCACAATGAAAAAAAATGAAGAGAAGAGCAAGGAAAATAATATGGAGACTAAACAGAGCCTGGAGAGAGACTGAAAACTATTCTATCACTATGCCCCACCACTAGAACTGAGTCACCTGTATAATGCTCAACTTTTTCAGGAAATGAGAAAAGAGAACCTCCATGACTGACACAATTAAGGATCTATTAGGAAAAGGCAAGTTCACGAAAACTGTGACTATTTTTTGGTTCTAAACCCAGATAGCAAGTTCTCTCTAGGATTTGTAGAATGAGTTTCATGAGGTAGAGTCTTAGGCAGATCCTTCAAATAGGCTATTCTATTGCTATTCGTTTCTCTCCTTGCCAAGGGGTCATTATTCTTTATCTATCATTTGACCATGTTGGAACCAGTAATGAGATTTTGCTACTTTTATCAACTGGTATATTATCCCCTTTTGGGCATGAGCCACACATAACAAAACAGAATGTTTATTGGAAATAACATGCTAGACTAATTTGTCTTGACTGTAAAGATTCATGAGAGCAGAGAGTGATAGGTTAGTGTGATGTAATAGGTGTTCTATCTTGTGGTGACGTTTAATTCAGTCACTCATGAGTGTTCATTTGCAAGGCTAATTCAAGTAGATATAGACATGAGTGTCCTCATGTGAGTTTTTCAAGAGGCTGGAAAACCGTAAGAAGACCTGATGATAAATCACACCACATTTCTGTTGAGTAAAATAAAAGTGTCTGGAGGATTGCCTTAAGCATTGTTATTTATGCCAGCCTGACTTAACATCTTCATTAATAATCTTCCTAAAGACAGAATAAAAGGATACTTGGGAAATTTGCTGGAGAAACCATATTTGGAGATGAGCATCAGGGAAATGAAAGGAAATCGAGGGGTCCTGGAAGCTGGCACAGACTAAAAGACAGTAGAGTACATGATTATAAACACGAGCTTTCAGGGGGCATTCACTATAAATAAAAGTGTTTTGTCCAGAACTGTGTTGGAAGTAGGGGCACTTCAGTGGATTCCAGAGAATAAGAGAAGAAGGCAGCATAGGCAGAGGGGACTGACTAACATTTATGAAGCAGCCAGTTTACATGATTTCATTTACTAGTCACATAACTCTACTATTTTTATCAATAACTCATAGATAATAAAACTTCAGCTTTCTCTGAGAGGCCACACAGCTAGTCAATGGCTGAGGAAGGTCTTAAACTCAGTCTTCCAGTTGTCAGGTCCTAAGCTTTGCACACCCTTGCTGCCTCACAAGAATTTCCCCCATGTGGCCACATGTAAGCATTCAGAAGCCTGAACTTTATAAACCATAGTTATGCTTAATTTTCCAAAAATTATCTATAGTTGCTGCTTTAAAAGGATATGGATGATTGTTTTAATTAGATGTTAGTTTCTAAACCCACTCTGGAATCCTTACCTACAGATTTGGTTTCATTGTGAAGAATCCTGTAGTTTGAATGTTATGAGTTGGATAGTTTTAGGTTGTACTAGGGGAGAACTCATCATTAAGCCACTGTCACCCCTCATATCCGATCGGTTGCCAAGACCTGTTGGTTCTTCTAACATGGCGCCACTTACAGTCATCCCTTCTTTTTATTGTAGCAACCCTATTTCAGTGCTTTATTATCTTTCTTAATTTTCTTTCCTTCAATTCATCCTCCTTACAGCTGCCAGAATGTGACTTGTTTATTTGACAGAATTTCCTACCATCTCCCTAGTCATGGGTTGAAATATAAACTAATATTTTTTGAGCACCTACTAATATGCCAGGTATTATGGTGGTGTGGGGATCCAGAGATTAATAAGACAAAATTGCTGCCATCCAGGAGCTCATCTAACTTCAGTATGGTCATGCCATCTATTTATCCCCATTCCTCATGCCAAACCCCACAATGATTCCCTATCAGATAAACTGAACCTAACTATTTAGCTCTCATTCAATGCTTTCTGAAAATGGTCCCAACTACCATTCTGTTCCTATATATTTGAGATAATTGAATACCTTCACCCTTTCTTTTTCTACAAAGCTCTTATAGTCCAAATAAATGACACCATATTAATGACCATAACTCATTAAATTATTAATATAAATGCCTTTTCAGTGTCCTTTTGACACATCTGTGCTTCCCAACACCTCTCTCTCTATGTGTACTTATGAAACTACCACCCGTCTTTCAAAGTCCACTTTAAATGCTCCATCCACAGAGCTGTCTGGAATCATTCTAGTCAGAGGTGAACTTGCTGTCTTCTGAGTTCTAGAGCTCTTTTGGCACTGCTCAAGTCCTGAGTCCTATTGGACTCAGTCTCATTGATGTATGTGAGAGTTATTCATGTACATCCTGGTCTTCCTACTAAATTATAAACTACATGTGAATAGGAAGGCTGCTTCCTTCCTTTTGTATGCACTCAGCTCTATACTTTGTACAGAAAAAGTACTTTTTTAAACTTTGCAAAATAAGTTATTGAACAAATTATTTGATTTCATTCAACATATATAGTGAGCACTTACTTTGTTCCAGGCACTGTAACATGTGCTTGAAATACATGAGTGAAAAAAAACAGACAAGGAACTAGTGGTGACAGAAATGGGGAGAGACAGATAATAAACAATAAGCATAATAAATACTTTAATCCTGGGAAAAAATTCTGGAAAAAAATGCATGGAAAGAAGGAAAAGTAGAGCTGAATATTGGGAATTTGGCAGTATTTGGGGGCTGGTAAAGTAGATAGGGTAAAAGGTACGATTTGAGCAAAGGCTTGAAGGTAGGGGAGAGCTAGCTATGCTGCTATCTGGGGTAAGAGTGTTCCAGAGGAAACAGCTGGGATAAAGGCCCCGGGTGGGGAGCAAACAGACATGCTAATGTGCAATGTGAGAGGGAAAAAATTAAGATAAAATGTTAGAGAGTCGGTGAGAGACCAGATCATGTACAGCCTTCTTACCACTATAAAGATTTTGATTTTTCTCTGAGATAGTTAAAGAGCCACTGTAGGAGTTTGGGAAGAAAGAAATCACATGACTTACACTGAAATAAGGTCACTTTGGTACAGTAAGGGTAGAAACAGATAGAGAAGGCTATTTGGGGTAATAGCAGTCATCCAGGCAAGATGATAGAAGCTTGGACAAGGGACTTAAAAGTGGTAGGAGTGGTTGGTTTCCAGATCTGTAAGGATGACTGTAATGTTTCTGGCCTGAGCAACCGGAAGGGTGGTGTGCCTATTACCTGTGATGGGCAGACTGCATGTGCAGCAGGTTTAGAGCTCAGCATTGAATATATTGAGTATGAGATATCCATTAGAGATGTGGACTTCATAGTGGAGCTATCAAATACCAAAGTAGTAACAACAAGGAAAAGAAAATGAAATCGTCACACAAGTGTTATAGCAATACATGTGTGTGCGCACACACACACGCACACACACATAAACACACACGCGCGCGCACACACACACACACTTCTGCAATAAACCATTACCATCCATTAGGAAAGCTTTTGCTGATTCTCCAAACAGAACCGATAGCTCCCTCTTCTAGCTCCCCACATCTAACTCAAGTTTCTATTCTAGTGCCTAAAACACTTTGAAACAACTTCGTTCACTGGCCTTACTCCCATGTATCAGCGATCTTCAGCTGTATGTTCATTTACGCTTGAAAAGAATTTTGAAAAGCTATGCTCTCCCTATACTTTTTAGAATTGATGTCAAAAATAACAAATTTCAATTTTAACCAAAGATGTAATAATGTTCTGTGTATTTGTGAATATTGTATCTTCATATAAAATTATATCACTGTTATATATTACATTCATCTAAGGGAATCTAAACACCTATGGCATTTAATGCCCATGTATCTCCCACTGAAAAAACACATAAATAATTATTT